ATCCAAGACAGTCAACTTAAGAAACTTATGAGACACTTATTATGTCTCACCACAATGGGGCAGGAATATGTGGTGGAGGAAGCTGCAAAACTCAACCCCCTTGGAGATGATCTTCCCCAGTAGCCTAAAATGCCTATGAGATCCCACCTTTTAAAGGTTCCACTTCCCAATAGCGCTATGGCTAAGGGACCAGCCTTTAGCACATGAGCCTTTGGAGGATACTGCAGATCCAAACAACAGTGCCCCCAGTGGCTGTAAATGACCTTGTTTGGAAATAAGGCCATTACAGATGATCAAGTTAAGATGACATCAAGAGGGTCAGCCCCACAGAGAGGTTACAGAAAGACTTTTATAGCTGGAACACAATAGCAAGGAAGAGCTTAATGAGTACTGAGACAACTAGTTATTAATTTTATAATTTAAGGATGACTCTGTTGAGCTAAGGTATAGCTCCATGGTAGGCAGTTTGCTTAGCAAGAAAAATGGTTCAGATACAGAATTAGTAAGATGTTAGTTGTAAGATATTATATATAGATTCCTGCAAATCTGAAAACATATTGAGTATACTTTCAACTAAACTTAACATGATACCTAGTATATGAGAGAGTCCATGCTACTGTTATTCCTTTCAAACTGTAGGAACCCTAAGTCAGGAAAGTGAGATCACTAAAGTGGGAACTGGTGGTATCCAGAAAAGTGGATACTGGTAGTTTCCTCAGTTTGCAACATTCCTGACCGGCTTGACTTTTGTACTAGGGTTTGAACTCAAGTCTCACACTTCCTAAGCCATGTCCCTAGCACTCTTTCACGTTAGTTATTTTTGTGTTAGTTATTCTTTTCCAGCCCAGGTAGAAAAGTCCATTAGTTCTTATCTCCATTTAACCACCAATTAAAAAAAATGAAGTGGAGCTGTGGCTCAACTGGTAGAGTGCTAGCCTTGAGCAAGAAAAAAATGCTAAGGGACTGAGTTCAAGCCCCAGTACTAGCACAGATACACATACACACACACACAAGTATAATGAAGAAAATAAAGTTGTATCACCCTAGTACTGTTTCCTTTCCTTCTTGACTTTATAATTTGTCAGTTTTTTGTATTTTACATTCACACAGGTACTCAATTTATTATGTCATGTGACGTTTTCATGCACTACATAAATGGTTGTAGAAAGATGTTCCTGATTTCTCCTATAAGTGATGATATGTTTTATCAAATGTAATGATGGGCATTTGGCTGTATGAAGCTTGAGTTCATGGAAGGAAAGGGGGAAGAAATTGGAATATGACAGAGGGGTGAACTTGTTTGAAGCACACTGTCTATGGGTGTGAAAATAGCCTGCGAAATCCCTCCATACTACAAATGCATGCCAACTCAAAATAAACAGAGTAAAACAACCAGAAACATAAAACAGCTCACAACCGTAATCCTAGTTACTCAGGAGGCTGAGATCTACAGATCACCGTTCAAAATCAGCATATTAATAAATAAATAAATAACTCATTCACAGGTCTTAAAATCTTAATGTACTATATATACTTACATATACCTTATATATATATATACTTATACTTTATATACTTAACTAACATACTAACTTATCTTAACATATGATATATACTTAACTAATAAGTCATTAATAAATTACTCCTAACATTTTACAATTTTATGTCTTGTTTATATATAGTAATGCTATAAAATATGCACATAACTATGAATTTGAAACCTTCCAAATTATATTAATTATAGCTACTCATCTAGAAAAACATATAAACAATGCTCACCTAATTGGCTTTTAATTTTACTTAAACCTAAAATTTGTTGTTAAATTTTATCTATGTTGAAATGACATGTAACTTAAACAATTACCATTGTATTTAAAACATCCACAGGGGTACTTTCAATTCAACTCCATTTTCAATTCACATTTATTTTTATAGGTTGGTGGGAAATATAGTTTGAAGAAAACACTGGTTTTTTAGGTCCAAAGTTTCAAAGAATGAGAAGGAAGGTCCTCGAATGATATCCTATACATTGTTATTATTTTACCATTCTTTAGGTGCCTTTCAAATCACTTTATTGGATGTTTCTCCTCTAGAGATCTCAGAAAATTAACAATATAATGTAATCTAGGTGTAAGTTTGGGTTTGAGATACTGATGTTTGAACCTTCTCTTCCTGACAAGCCACTTAAAAAGCCACTGTGACTCTGAGGTTTTATCTGTGGGATTCGTGTCTTTGAGGCTCATTAAGAACATTTCCAAAGATTACAATGTCAATAGTGCCTAATTTCTAGACTGTGAGAAAGGTTTGCCTAGGTACATAGCTCAGTGGCAGAGCAGACTACACAATGGATTGTTCACATCCTGAAGTTTATCACAGGGAAGTAGCAAACAAATTAATAATCTTATTTACACTCTTTTGGGATAATTACTAGTGCTTAAAAAAACTGCTTTGAAATTGTGTAGATACTATTGTATCTCATCTTTTCCAGTTCCCTTATATTAACCAGAATTTATTTATCCCTTAACTGCCTGAATTGCATGAATTACTCTGTTACTCTCTCTGGGTTTTGCAAAATGTAACAAAATATAATCTGAAACTTGTTTTTTTTTTTTGGGGGGGGTCCTGTCGTGGGGCCTGAACTCTGGGCCTGGGCACTGTCCCTCAGCTCTTCAGCTCAAGGCTAGCACTCTACCACTTGAGCCACAGTGCCAAATCTGCAACTTGTTTAGGCAGGTTTGAGTGGTTAGTTGAAGATAAGAGTCTCACAGACTTTCCTGTCCTGACTGGCTTTGAACTGTGATCTTCAGATCTCAGCCTCCTGAGTGGTGAAAAGTTTAATTTTGGATGCAAAATCCTCTACTGAAGTTTGAAGCGATTGAAGGGCTCCCTTATTAAAATTTCAGGTCAATCACAGGTTCTAAATTTACCAATCCACAGTATTGTGATAAATCATGAGTATATAAAGATGTTTTAGAAAGAATTTAAGCATGGGCTGGAATTTTCAGTGACACAAGAGATTTAATTTGTCTTTAAATACTAATCCTTTTAGAGGACTTCTTCTGAGATGTGTGTTCTGGAGTTCAGCCTTTCAACTGTTTTAAAGTGTCAGCCCAGGGAGGCAGCTAGCCTAACTTCTGGAAGATTCCTTTGTTCTCCAGCAAAAACCTGTGAGGCTATGCTACTTATACAATAACAAAGCCACTGGACAGAGGTTCGAGAGAAGAAAGATTCTGAACATCTCTGTTAAAGTTTTCAAAAAGTGGAAGATTTTACAATTAGGGACTCAGGAATTAAACTCTTGTTTCACACATTTCCCTTGCATGAACATGCATACACAGCTGGGCACCTGTGGCTCACGCCTGTAATCCTAGCTATTCAGGAGGCTGGGATCTGAGGATCACAGTTCAAAGCCAGACTGGGCAGGAAACTCCGTGAGACTCTTATCTCCAATAAACCCCTAGAAAACCGGAAGTGGCACGTGGCTCAAGTAGAGTGTTGTCTTGAGCTGAAGAGTGCAGGGATAGTGCCCAGGCCCAGAGTTCAAGCCCCACGACTGACAAAACAAATAAAGATGCATTCACAAAGCCAATTTTTAAATATATTCAGACATGAAAAACAAATTGTTGACACCTTTTTTTTTTTTTGGTCGGTCGTGGGGCTGAACTCTGGGCCTGGGCGCTGTCCTTCAGCTCTTCAGCTCAAGGCTGGTGCTCTACCACTTGAGCCACAGTGCCACTTCCGGCTATTTCTGCTTATGTGGTGCTGAGAAATCAAACCCAGGGCCTCATGCATGCAAGGCAAGCACTCTACCACTGAGCCACCTTCCCAGCCCCACTTTATTGCTTATGATAAATAATAAATAAAATGTTTTGTTAATACATCTTCCTTATTACAGCTGAATGCTTTTGTCAATCATCTTCCCTATTACAGCCTAGTAATTAATAAGCCTTATAAATGAGTCCTTCCTTCTTTCCTTTTCTAAGAATTGAACCCAGGATCTTATACATGCTAAGCAAGTGATCTACCACTAAGCTACATTTCCAATCATGAGGGTTTTTTTTTTTTCTGTTTTTGATTCATGTAGTTACTCTTCCAGAGAGCATTCTAAGCTGAACAGCTGATACTATATATGACAGGGGGAAAATGTAATAACTAAGCTTCCTACTTTTGTTTCTAAGTTCACAGAAAAGTCTTTCAGATGTTTCTGGGCAAAGGGACTTCCAGTTTTGTTTTGTTTTTTTTTAAAGTCTAATTTGAAATCCTTAAAGACCAATAGGAGAGAAAAATTGCTAAAATACTTGCATTTTTCTTCTAACTATTAAATTGGAAAATAAGAATTTATTAAGAACTTCGGGCTTGTGAACACTTTAATTAAAAAAGAAATAAGATTGCAACTAAGAGAGATTCTGATTCTGAAGTATGACTAAATTCATTTTTTCTTGTTGTAGATGAAGTCTTGCTATGTAACCCAGGCTGGTCTCAAATTCATGATCATCTTGCATCTACCTCTTGAGTGCTAGCAAGCACCACTCTTCCTGGCCTTAAATTCATTGTCAATGAGCATCAGTCAGTATTCATAAATATATACTAATATTCTTTTATTTAGATTAACTATGCATTTATATTTTTATTTTGTGTTGGTACTGGGGCTTGAAGGTTTGAACTCAGGGCCTTGGCATTGCTCCTTAGCTTTTTCACTCAAGGCTGACACGCTACCACTGGAGCCACAATTCCACTTCTAGCTTTTGGGTTGCTCATTGGAAATAAAAGTCTCACAGACTTTTCTGCTGTAGCTGGCTTTGAACTGAGAGCTTTAGACTTCAGCCTCCTGAGTAGCTAAGGATTATTACAGGCATGAGCCATCAGCACCTGGTTTGCATTAGTTTTACAAATAGGCTGAAAAAAGTCTTTACGCAAAATACTGAACAACAAAAGCAAAGGTAATTTAAACATAATCCACATTCTGTGTGTGAGCCTCTATCCTAACAATAAATTGATACCTCTTGGTGTAGTTGTGAAGACCACTGGGTCACTGATAACCTGCAGCAACTTGTTGTCTATCTGTATGGAAACCAAAAAAGTTCCATTAGTGAGGTTCAATATTGTTAATGGATTTAATATTTAATAGACAAAAAATGATCTGCCTACCAAACTGATGCGGTGATTCTTTAGAAAAGATGGGACATTATCGGAGACAAATGGTTTCGATTGCACAAATAAGGGTTTTGTTTTCTGAAAGATACAAAAGGTAGATATTGGCTGAGAAACTAGAAATCAGAGTCTAAGCAAACAGATACCAACCATATTCAACTGGGAGCTAAGATATGAAAACTATGCTCCTAAGTTCTTCATTTAAATATAGATGGGATTGTGTTCTTTCCTTCAAACCAATGAGGAAAAAAAATGTAGTCCTGGCTACAAAGCAGGAAGATTGACAGAGGCTTTAGACCACCCTGGGCAATGTAGCAAAATCTCATCTCAAAAATATAAACAACAACAACAAAACCAGAAACAAATAGCAACCCCCCCACCCAATCAACTAACTCCCAGGAAACAATCATAAAAACAAATAGGGAGGGATCGTCATGTGCTGTCTGTATAGCAGATAATAATAATTACTCAGTGAATGATAAATCAGGACAGAGACAAAAAGTATCTAATACTTACAAGATAATTGAAGGATGAATCAGCGAGCAGTGCAAACTGACGAAACAGTGTGTGTCTAGTAAACATCTCATCTTTAAGGACATGAAAGCTGTAATAAAAGAAGCCATAATCTAAATGTATATAAAATCATAGGACAAGCAATTTTTCATATGATAATGTGAGACACACCTATAATCCCAGCAGTCAGAAGGCAGGAGGAGGAAGATTAAGAATTTGAAGCTAGCCTGGGGTACATAATGAAACCCTGTCTCCACAAACAAAATCAAAAGAAAATGAAATAGAGTACAGACTTCTCATTATTTCTTCCTTATTTAAAAATTACATATTTTCTAGCTCTGAAAAGCTAACATTTTACATTTTTTTAAAAAAAGAAATGACTGTTTCTAGACTTAACCCAATAAGTGTGCAAGATCATGAGCATTTTATTCTGTTAGAAATCAAAGGACCACCATCAAAGGTTGTGCCACAATAATGTAATAGTCAATGAGACTTAATATTGGAGAAATTAAACAGCAAAAATTAACAAGAATCACGATCCACTGGAACTACACGTGTATTCACAATTTAGGAAATTCTCAGTTGGTGTCAATAGAAAATGAAGCTACAATTAGGGGATTTGTTGCTGGGAACATGCTCTGAAGAGACAGGAATGTGGCTGGACAATCTTTCTTTTTTTTAATTCTGAACATTTTTTTTATTGTGAAAATACTGTACAGAGGGATTACAATTACATGGGCAAGATAGTGAGTACATTTCTTATCAAGCATTGTAGCCTCCTCCTTTGTTTACCCTTCCCATCCCTTCCCATCCTCCCTCCCCCCCACCCAATCCTCCCTCCCCCCCAAGTTGTAAAGTTCGTTTTTGACATGACAACTTGTACTTCTCATTTGGACAATCTTTCTTTTAGGGCCTAAAATGTAACAAAAGCAGGATTTAGGGTGTAGTTTAGTCAGAGTACTTGCCTACCATCTCTAGTGGTCACTGACAGTGTGATGGCTGTGCCACCATTGTATTTGTGGGCAAATAATCTCTTTTACAGCTCCTCAAGTCCATAGACATGGGGAAGCCTCACCAATAATGAGAATTGGCACCTTGGGGTTATGATTCTTGGGTCTGGACTTGAGTTGGTATTGTAATAGGCTAAGACTTTGGGATGGGGAAAAAAATACATTTAACACGTGGGAGAACCATAACATTCGGGGAGGGTAGCTAGAAGATGAAGTGAAGTGGATAGAATAATTGCCTTACATCATAATATTCACTTTCTAATTTTTGGATCCCCCCCACAAGCATGTTCACTAACTGTACTGATGTGAGTAAAGTAAGGACTTTCAGATGAACAATTGTTCTTGATTATTGTGAAGATTGGATGTGATGGATTGGATGTGATTATCAGAATCTGTTAAGGAAAGCAGGGTGATTAAAATGGTCTCCATGCAAGACTAGCCCTCTCTAAAACTTAGAAGAAGAAAGTGTTGAAGGTAAGATCAAGAAGGTACTAACTTTAAATTCAATACTGTAAGAATCATTTCAGATTTGTGGCCACTAGATTGTAAGGTTTGTGTTTATTAGAAAGGTCTTGACTTGTATTAATCTGTTAGAACAAGCAACAGGAAATCAGGTTGAAGACTCACTTTGTATCAATGGTTTGGAAAAATGAGTTGGGCCATTTCTAGAAAAATATAACTATGAAATAAAATGGAGAAGAAACAAAAAATTAATAGACTTTAAGGCCTTTAAACAAGGAAAAATAATAATAATAAGGGACTGTGTCTGTGACATAATAGTAGTACACTGATCTAGAATTCACATAAGCTCAGGTTCCATCCTAAGTACCCAAACAAAATGAAACAGAATCAGCAGCTTAAAATCCACACATTAAGATAACATGCAGCCCATTATTTTTTAATTTGTTTTTTGTTGTTGGTACTAGGACTTGAACTCAGGGCCTGGGCACTGCCCCTTAGCTTTTTCACTCAAGGATGGTGCTCTACCACATGAGCCACAGCTCTACTTCCAGCTTTTCACTGGTTACTTTGAGATAAGAGTCTCATAGACTTTTCTGCCTGGGTTGGCTTCCTTGATTCTTATATCTCAGCCTCCTGAGTAGTGAGAATTATAGGGCATCCTACTTAAAGATAAGTTTTACTACACTTCCTTGAACCAAATAATTCTCTTTGAACCATATAATTCTCATTTTATCCTTCCAACTTCTCAGAGGAAAAAAAAGAAAAAGAACCGAGCACTTGTCAAAGATAACAATGGAAAGAGAAATAGCAGTGCAATCCTAGGTATGAACATAACTAGAATATTCTGGGCTGGGGTACAGCTCTGTGAAAGAACTCTTGCCTAGCAAGAATGAGGCCTTCCTTGGGTTTAATTCCCAGCACTGCTTAATCCTAGAAGAAAATTCTTAAATAATCAGCAAATGGATTTGCAATTCCTGGAAGCATAGAATCATAGATCACCATCATGAAATGGTCAGAACTCCATGAGAGAGACGTACCTCACCTCCTCTACTTCCAGAGCCATGTTCTGAGAATTCAGTCAGCTGGAACAGGAGGGCAGGCCCAGATTCAGGAAACCACATTTCTCTAGAAGTCTATATCTATGCTGTCTTCATCAAGCATTCCATATAAAACTTGTTTTCACTGGGCCTTAGTACCTCAAGCCTGTAATCCTAGCTACTCAGGAGGCTGTGATCTGAGGGTCATGGTTCAAAGCCAGCCCGGACAGGAAAGTCTATGAGACTCTTACCTCCAATAAACCACCACAAAACCAGAAGTGGAGTTATGACTTAAGTAGTAGAGCCTTGAGTGGAAAAAGCTAAAGAGTAATTCCCAGGCCTGAGTTCCAGCTCTAGTATTGGTGTGTGCATGTGCACACACACACACACACACACACACACACACACACACACACTTCATATAAGACAAAAAATGTTTTGTGAATGTCCTCCTGTGACTATGAGATAAGCGGAATGTTTCTGTATGAGGAGAGAAGCACGGATGTACTGCTGAGCTCTGTTTTTCTCTATTACTCTTCTGCCTCACACTGACAACCTCCGGAGTCTGCAGCTGGGAATCAGAGAAGGGAGGGCGCTAGAGAGAGATCAAGTAAAAGCTAGGTAGAGTCTGCTTCCCAAAACGTCCTGTCTCCCAGACTCAAGAATGAGGGATTATAGGGGAAGGGAGGAGGGAGAAAATGAGCAGGGTGTGTGTGTATTTTACGCAAGCTCTCCAAATTTCTGGTAGCTAGCCAGCTACCAATCTAGGTTGCTGGCTCAGTGCTCCTGAGCATGGATGAGTGGAGGGAAGTCAGGAAAAGTCAGAAAAACATCTAGCGGTGTGGGAGTCACGTAAATATTCTGTTTGGGAGTCAAGATGGCAGAACAGAGAGCATCCAACTCTGAGCACACAGGCAGAAGAAGAGGGTGACAGCATGTGGACCACCTTCTGGGTACAGGTAGAATCGAATGTGGTATGAGCCAGGAAGAAATCTGTTCCTGAGCCTCTGTGCCAAGAGAAGGGACAGTGCTGACCTGTGCCATGCATGTCATACTAAGAGGAAGAAGTAGCCCTGGTCCTTGCCAGCACTACTTATGCTCAGTCTTTTGGGATGTGGTAGAGACTGGAAAGGAAATGGAGCGGTGAGCTAAACTGAATGAATCATGCATTGACTGAGAGATCACGGAATAGATTGGATAATCTCTGTTTCTTCTTAAATAAAAATGAGTGCTTGGGATATTATGGCTGGAAAGAAATGAAAACAGATTTGTTTCCTTTTCATTTCATGCTTGTTTGGTGGGTGCTCCACCACTTGAGCCAAACCTCTAGCCCTGTTTGTTTTGCTTTGTTTTTGCCATTTATTTTGGAGATAAAGTCCAGGAGATTTTCTAAGCAGGCTGACCTCAACCCTCACTCCTTCGTTATGTCAGCCTTCTGAGTAGAAAGTCCAGGAGATTTTCTAAGCAGGCTGACCTCAACCCTCACTCCTTCGTTATGTCAGCCTTCTGAGTAGCTAAGATTGATGGTATGAGCCACTAGCACCTGGCATAGAGTATACATTTTTGTATGTTTTTTTTTATTGTAAAAGTACTATACAGAGGGGTTACAGTTACATGAGCAAGGTAATGAGTACCTTTCCTATTGAGCATTGTTAGAGTATACATTTTTATAAAGTTAACATGGCAGGACAAGGTAAAAATAGACATTTGTTCCATTTGGTATCAGAAGTTTACAGTTTTGTTTCCCATATTAAAAAAATAAGACAAAGATGATCCAGGAAAGAAATATTAAATGTTTATGTGGATGAGAAACACATCTTGAGTGATTGGGAGCTGGTCCTCTTTTGTCTGGAAATCAATAGAAGACTTAACATATAAAACAACTTTATATAGCTCCTCTTCCATGGAAGAAGATGCCCATGTAAGCCTGACTCAATCAGGTTTTCAAAAGTGTCTCTCCATCTGTTAAGCTCTTATTGTTATTGTATTGGGTTGTATTTTTGGGGCCTTGAAATTAGGGCCTGAGCACTGTCCCTCCTGGCTTCAGCCACAGCTCCATTGAGGCTTTTTGGGAATCAATTAAAAGTAAGAGTCTCACCAATTTTCCTCCCCAGGCTAGCTTCAAACCTCAGTCCTTATATCTCATTTCCTGCAGGTAGGATTACAGGTGTGAGCCACCCATGCCTGGCTTGAATTCATTTTTCAAGTAACTTGCATTACTCTTCTGTTTTAGACTGGTTATTTTTCAATTTTCCCCCTTCCTTTTGTAAGATGAGCAGTTGCAGTTTTATAAATAAAAGTTGTCTGTGTCACCATACTCTACCTGTTCCTGAGGACATAAAATTTCCTCTCCCAGTTTCTGTTTATCTGATCTGCTTCTTTTCTAAATCTGTTATAAAAAAAAGTACAAGTGGTTAAATGTTTATCTGATACAAACAACAGAAAGAGTCATTATTTCTAGTACCTTTCAAGCTTCCTTTTCTCATAGGCTAAATTCTTCCTTAATAAATTAATTTCTAGGTCCCGTGCTTTAAGGTCTTCCTGTCTTGTTTCCTAAATCAGAAAAGACACTTTTAATTCAATAGCACATTCTAACTACTATCAGAAGCCAAAAGAACAAAGAGGCTTACTTGCAAACCAAAAACATATAAGAACTCATTTCTTGTAAATGATTAATTCAAGAAAGCCAGCTTTACATAAGATTACAAAATAACCAGGTTTTATCTTCATGATCACTCCCTCCCACAAACCAGGAATCTTTTTTTTTTTTTCGAAAATCCTCTTCCCTCAAGGCCCATCTCTTCTTCATAAATAGCCACTGTCCCCCATTTACCATGTTTTCTATGTGAACAGTTCTCAAGAAAGGATCTGACCAACTCAATTGTCCTGGAGTTTCATGGCATTTTTTAAAATACAGCTTAGGTTTTAGCAAAAGGAAGGAATCTCTAACACCGGAAATGTAGGTGTTTCATGATAGAGAGGTTTGGGAGGTGTGCAGGGGATGACCCATGGAGTCACAGTAGAGACTTCTCTCTCTTCATGAGACAAATTATTTGCCCAAAATAGCCAGAATTAATACAGATCATAAGAAGGTTAATATTAATTTTTTTTGGTCATTCATGGGGTTTGAACTCAGGGCCTGGGTGTTATCCCTGAGCTTTTTTGCTCAAGGCTAGTGTTCTACTACTTTGAGCTACAGTACCATTTCCAATTTTTCAGGTACTTAATTGGCAAGGAGAGTCTCACAGCCTTTTCTCCTTGGAATGGCTTCAAACCACACTCCTCAGGTCTCAGCCACCTAAGTAGCTAGATGTCAGGCGTGAGTGAGCCACCGGTACCTGGACTTAGAATAGAATTTTTTGTCATAGGCATACCTTGGCCATGGCTTCTTTTGATTTCTTTGGTTCAGTCAGTACAACAGGTTCTGGGGTGTATCTCACCTAACAAGAGAGTAAGTTAAGGTAAATACAACATTTTCATGGATACAGGAAGCTGTGGTGCTCTTACAATGTAAAGAAAACGGAGTCTTGAAATATGCCAGCCACCATCCCAAGGTCATCACTGCCTTATCTACTTTATAAAAGTCAGTATTCATGCACTGCATTTGCAATGGAACAATGACAAATCATTAAAACCATTCTCCTACCATTTGTGCATTTGTGTACGTGTGTGTGTGTGTGTGTGTGTGTGTGTGTGTGCACACGTGCGCACGCGTGCATGTGCCAGTCCTGGGGCTTGAACTCAGAGCCTGGATGCTATTCCTGAGCTTTGTTTGCTAAAGGCTAGTGTTCTACTGCTACTACCAGCTTTTTTTGAGCAGTTTTGTTAGAGATAAGAGTTTCATGGTCTTTCATGCTCCTGATGGCTTTGAACTGTGATCTTCAGATCTTAGCTTCTTGAGTAGCTAGGATTATAGGTGTGAGCCACCAGTGTCTGGCTCTCTCCCCCATTCCCTCTCCCTCTCCCCCCCGCTTTTTTTGTTGTTATAAGGCTTGAACTCAGGGCCTGGGCACTGTCCCTGGGCTTTAGGCTAGTGCTGTACCACTTGAAGACACAGCATCATTTCCAGTTTTCTGGTGATTAATTGGAAGTAAGAGTCTCACAGAGATTTTCCTGCCCCAGATTTGTTGAACTGTGATCCTCAAATCTTAGCCTAATGATAGTTCTGTTTACAGGTGTGAGCCACTGGTACCTCGCTTCCTACTACTTTTTTCCCCCTGTGGTTGTATATCACATTTTACCATTATACTTTTTCAAAATGAAGATAGCTGTTATTATCCAATGAAGCCATAAGAAAAACAAAAATAAAAAAAAAACCTCACTTTAAGCCAGGAGCCTGTTGCTCATGCCTGTGATTATAGCTATGCAGAAGGCTGAGATCTGGATTGAAGTTTCAAGGCAGTTTGGGTAGAAAAGTCTGTGAGACTCAATCTCCAATTAATCAGCAAAAAACATTCTATTTCTCAAGAGGTTGAGAAGTCAGGATCATAGTTCAAATCCAGTTGTGAGACTTATCTAATTAACCACTAAAAAAACAGTAAGTGAAGCTGTGGTTCAAGTGGTATTTAAAGTACCAGCTCTGAGTGAAACTGATAAGGGACAATGCCCAGGCTTTGAGTTCAAACCCCAGTACTAGCACTATCAACACACACACACACACACACACACACACACACACACACACACACACACTAAAACTCACTCTAGTTGCCTAGCATGTATGAGACTCTGGGTTCCTCCCCTGGCATCTCAAAAGAAAATATTCTTGGACCCATTGTATTTCAGAAACTGACATATAGAAGTATATGTAGAACTTAAAGATAATTAAAAAAAATAAGGCCAGGCATCTGTGGCTTTTGCCTGTAATCCTAGCTACTCAGGAGGCTGAAATCTAAGGATCACTGTTTGAAGACAGCCCAGGCAGGAAAGTCCATGAGATGCTTATCTCCAATAAGCACTGAAAAAAGCTGGGCGTGGAGCTGTGATCAAGTGGTAGAGTGCCAACCTTGAGCACAAAAGCTCAGGGACAGTGCTCAAGCCTTGAGTTCAAGCCCCAAGCCCAGCACAAGAAAAAAAAGAAGAGAAAAGGAAAGAAAAGGCAATGTAAGAAAAGAAAAAAGGAAGAAAGGATTGGAGGGGGAAGAGAAGGAGGAAGGAAGGAAGGAAGGAAGGAAGGAAGGAAGGAAGGAAGGAAGGAAGGAAGGAAGGATGGATAGAGTTATTATATAATTCTATACAACAGCACTAATTTATCTGAGAATGTTTGGGAATACCAAAGCTGGAAGGACTGTCACCCTCTTTGGTGACACTGGCTCTGACAAGGAAGGTCTGCAGCCATGGATGGAAGTAGGTAATTGACAGAGAACTGAATCAGTTCTGAGGCATAAGTGACAAAGAACTCTGAGCTCCCCTGGCCAATCAGAGTGAGTTGGGTGGGGTGAAAATGGAGAATCAATGGCCAGGGCAAAACCACAAGGTGGGAGATGCTAGTGTTTAGTGGGCAGCTATGACCAGTGCCTAGGTTGAGATAGCATAGCATCTTGGTAATGTCAGTTCTCCCCATCTCCTCATCTTTTTTAACCCCCATAACCTTATAATACACAAAGGTGTAAAATGTAGGAGGAATTTCAATAGAAGTTCCAGAATCACATTAGATTTCAAGTCCGATGAAAGAAATTGCAGACTGGGCTGGTTACAGAACATGGTGAGATTCAGAAGGTAACTCTGAAGTAAGATCCAGAAGAAGCCACCCAGCCCTCAGCAGCCACAGCAAGGTAACTACACTGCAATAAGCTTAGGGAAAGACAAACCAGATGTAGAGTCGAACCAATTTTCTACACAACTGAAGAAAAAAGGAATAGGCCAACTTTTTGTTTGTTCTTGTGTTTTGGAGAGTGCTAGAGCTTGAATTCAGAACGTTATGCTGGTTAATCATGTTTGAGCTACAACATCCAGCTCTTTGTGGCTTTAGATGTTTTTAATAGGGTCTTGTGCTTTTGCCCAGGGCCAGCCTCAGACTTAATCTTCCTACTTATGCCTCCTGCATAGTTAGGGTTATAGGCATGTACCACCATGCTGTGTCCTTCTTTTCTTTTCTTTTTCCCAGTTAGAAAGACTTTAGTGAATTCAGTTCAAGCATTTTGGTCTGTTGAAACAATAGGGGCTAGGATTAAGACATGGAATTTGTGAGAAAGATTGATCCTACACATGTAATTTGAGAGCTGTAAGTGTATTAGTTGAAGCCATAGAGTTGGAGAAGGTCACATGTGAAGCTTGCAGAGAAGAGAATGAAGTCAACATGGATGCTTATTTCCAGTAAGGCTGATCTCTAGTTGTGGTTGGCTTTTGCCTGACAGAAAAAATCCTTAGAAATATATCCTAATTATTGCTATTAGCTTAGTTCTCTACTACTTTCTCCTACTCTGTTAGTCCCCCAAATCCAAAAGGGCCTTTTGGTCATTCCAGAATTACCCAAATTATTACTTCCTTAATTTCTGACAAAATAAACATTGTACAAAACAGCACCTGCAGTTACTCTGTCTTCCCAAAGCCCACGTGATAGCAAACCAGACTGGAAAGAAGCCCACGCGATACTACCAACAGTCTGACAAAAGCAACACAAAGTCTGCATTATCCTTTAACTTTCCTTGGCCTCAAAATGCAGAAGGTTAGCTGGGTGCTAGAGGCTCATGCCTGTAACCCAAGCTACTCTGGAGGCTGAAATCTGAGGATCAGTTCAAAGCCAGCCCTAGCAGGAAAGTCCATAAGAGTCTTATCTCCAATTAGCAAGCAAAAAGCCAGAAGTAAAGCTGTGGCTCCAATGGTATAATACCAGCCTTGAGCACAAAAACTCAGGGACAGCACCCAAATCCCGAGTTCAAGCTCCAGGATCAGGGCATGCATGTGCGTGTGTGTGCGCACACACACACACACACATGCACACACACATAGTGGAGGGAAACACAGTGGAAAAGGGAACCAAGGGAACCAATACAATCATAACACTCAGTGTATATCTATAAAAAAGAAGTAGGGAATGATCTGACTCTGGGAAAAGGGACAGGAAGATAGGAAAGCATGATGAAAAGGGAGATGTTAATCACGATGCACAGGTCACATCAATGGATATATTCCATTGGAATCCCTTTGTATAACTAGTTGAAGATTTTCTTAAAAAGCAGGGGCCACAAAAGGGACACAAAATAGGGACCTTGTTGGCTCCTTCTAGCTACGTGAGTTGAAAGGGCACAACTGATTCTTCTCTCTGCACAGGACACCAGAGTGTACTGTGACTTCACTGACCTGTGGTGAGAGAGATGACCAAAGAAATCATTGAGCTAAGAGCCCAGCATGCTACAGGAAAGTACTTACGTTGAAAACAATAATTTTCAGTCAATTAGGGGAACAAATGGGTAAAAATAAAAACAAGTTTCCACATAGGAAGGCATCTATGCCAAAGTCACACTAATGGTTGGAAATCAATTTTTCATAATTCTATGTTTAAATCCACACACAGTAAAACTTTGTATTAATTTGTAAGGTTTTCTTTTCCCCAAGTCTCATGTAATGATCAACTATGTCATAATGAGAGATAAGACTGTGCTAAATCCTATCTTCTCGAAAGCAAATAATTACTCAGTCTCTGCAAAAGACAATACTATTGCAATGATGGAGATAGCATTTCTTTTCATGTAAAAAAAATAGTAAGAAAGAAAGGGGGTGGGGAAGCACCACATATTGACTAGAGTTGTTTGTTCTCTGCTCTGAGCTGAAATTTCCCCTTTGCTACAGCAAGTTACATTGACCCCCCAGCTCTGTCCACATGGAAATGTCATTTTGTTTTTCCAGCTGCTGACATTCCACTTTCTCTGGAATATGCTGGTCTCTATGTGGTCATTACATGGACAGGTGCAAACACTAGGATGCTGAGCGATAGGGGGAAGGGAGAGTAAATGATCTTAGTAATAAGAAAGTTCTTAGTTTCTTGAGTAGGAAATTTTACATGTAATGATTATGCAGATAAATATTAAACTGAGGCTATCAATAGTCTATTATGAGTTTTTCTCATTCTCTCTTGAATTTATGCATATTTAAGACTAAAAAATTCTAAGATTAAGAGAATTCATTTATAATAGAAGTTATGCTTCGTAGGTAGACGTCGGTAGCTCGTGCCTGTAATCCTAGCTACTCAGGAGGCTGAGATCTAAGCATGGCACTTCGAAGCCATCTCTGTGAGAGGGAATCTCTGTGAGACTCTTCTCTCCAATTAAGCACCCAAAATACTGGAAGTGAAGCCGGAGCACAAGTGGTAGAGCACTAGTCTTGAGCAAAAAAAAGCTCAGACTGGCACCAATAAAAAAGTCACATTTTCTAGATTTGTTAGCACATAGAGGTGTTTTTTTTATTTCTAATAATAATCTTTTAAAATTACAAGACAAGA